TATTTTATTTTTTAAATCAACTAGAGGAAGAAAATATAGGGAATTTCACATGTCAGAGGAAAACAATACTTTGTTGCACCACCACTGGTTTTATRACGACTTAAACTCCCTGAGGCATGGACCGAATTAATGACAAATAAAACCAATCAAAAATCTATAGTCTGGGCTTTTCTCAGATTAGCCGTTAACTAATCCAACTGTTTCTTGTTGCTGTTGACAGATCAGCTTTGACAGCTTTGCCAGTTGGAGTCTCGTCTTTGATCATTTTCTTTCTTTTCCACTAGAGATGTTCAACTAAACTGAGATCTGGAATATCTGCAGGTCATGCTGTTGACATTATATGTTTTGCATCTTTCTGTTTTCAAGCCAAGCTTTAAGTTTTCTGTCTGTCTTGGTTCACCAGTATGCTTTCCTTTTACAACCTTTCTATTTTGTTTGTACTTGGTCTAGATTTTAGACACTGCTGCGTGGGAACAGCAGATATCTTTTATGACGGTGATAAGGACTTTCTAAATGAAGAGGTTTAAACATCCTCTGTTTTGTTTCAGCTGACCCTTCTTACATTGGAGCCATGATTCATGTTAATCAGCTTTGTACAACAGCTCAGTTCAGCTCTTTTTAATTGCARATACCTGATGCGTCTGTTTGTTTTAGAACTGCAAATTACTGGAATTCAATTTTCAAATTTTCCCSTTTACTTGACCAAAAACAGCTRGTGGTTAGTGGTTGATTTGTTGAAAGACGATGGTGTCTAACGTTGCTCACACTGCTAATTCGGCTAATTAACGCTGCTGAAGGTGGTATTTAAAATTTAGATAAAAATGTGTTAATTGAAAAACAACATGAAAGGTACATGAGTTTCAGTAGTTTGAAGTGCAGCTTGGACTCCAACAGCAACTTTGATGTTTTGTACGGAGGCGTTAGCAACTTTAGCAGCGTTAGCAGCTGCTTTTAGCTCAGGGTGAGGAGACAGCTGAGATGAGCACCAACAGCAAAGGTTATGTTAAATTACTAAAAGTAAACTTTAACATTCAGTCATATTTAAGATTGAACTTTAACATTTAGATTTAGGATTTAATATCTACATTCAGCGGGTATTAAACAAGTTACCATTTTTCTCAGTAAATATATTACTAGAGGTGCTATGAAATTTTCACCAGATGTCGGTAACAACCCAAGTGATCCATACATACAAAGAAATCAAACCATAAATGTCCAGAAATGAAGTTATTTGTAAT